CGGACTAGATGATCTGCTCAGGTCCCTTCCGACCCTAGAAACTATGAAACTATAATTTTGCCCTCCCAAAGAATAAAGAGGATGTTTTATTTTGGGGTTTTTTGTATGCAAGAAAATACAGTATATTAAGTGATACACTGAACCAGTGATACTCAATCTCGCCAGCCACAAGGGCTGAATGAGTATTGCAGGGCCAGTCCACAGACCCACGTTCTGCATAAAGAGTTAGTCTGCAGAACCAGTCTAGCATGAGGTTGGTCCAGAGGTGCAATCCAGTATACTTGCATAACCCTGTACACTAGGCATAATCCACATGCTGGATCTGGCTGCAGCACAACTGCATGCAGTGCAATCATCCAGCCTATGTGGAGCTCCCCACGGGTTCAGAAGTTTGGCAGCAGAAGCATGATGGCAGCTTTAATTGCCATGGCTCTAGAAGCACTCAATGCTGTTATTGCTCCCCTGCCACCAAATTTCTGGACCTAGGGGGAGCCCCACAGGCCAGATGACATGGCTCCAGAAGCCAGATCTGGCCTGCGGGCTGGAGGCTGAGCACCATTGTACCAAAGTATGTGATGCAATCTTTGGGTTAGTCTTGAGCTTATATCAATCAGCTCCAATCAGAACAGGGTGTCGCCACCCACCACCCCATGCTGCCACCTCCCAGGAGCAGGGCCAGGGGGGCAAAGGCAGCGGTGTCCCACTGCAGGACACAAAGGTGCCGCCTGGCCGGCCAGACACAGGGTGGGGGGGTGATGTGGGGAGAGCTTGCACACAGTGTTCACCACCGCCATCCACCACCCTATGCCATCACCACCATCAACTGCTTTCCCATGGCCAGTTGCACATATGGCTCCATGGGCTGCTGACGGGCAGTTCATGATTGGCTGGGTGCGAGAAGAGGCAGAGGGAGGCACCCTGCTCGAGCGGAGGCTCTGGCTGGTGCCTGTTCTGTTGAGACCAGCAGTTCCCACCTTCATCGCATGAGTGCCCAGGATCCCGGCAGGCCAGGGAAGGGGAGAGGAAGGAAGGGCCAGGGCCACCGCCCTGGGGGAAGTGCCTGCAGTGTGGGGCTAGCCTGGGCCAGGTATGTGTGGGGCCAGGCCCCACCTTAGGTCACCCTCCCCACCCTGCTCCGCATCTGGCTGCCAGGAGTACGTTTCTTTAAAAAGGTTGAAACCCCATGCCCTAGTTCACAACTGGCCATTTTCCAGAATACCTTCACTTCAGGAATCAACACCGGAGCAGTAACTACTGATTATATACATGATATTCCCTTTGTGTGATGAACAGGCTCTTTATTGCCTTCCACAGCCAACAATGCTCCAAACTACCACCATGATTTATGGCTACAGAGGCTGTTATTTACCAAAACCTGATTTGAAATATTATGGAAAAGATAAATGCTCAGCCTTCTAGATGCATAGCGTAAAAAGTTGCTTATCTGAAAAAAGTCAATTAACTAGAAGGTTTTATATTAACAAAACCATCAGCCCATGTTTGGTTTGCTCATCAGTGAGATAAGCAACACATGGTTATCTGTTAGTGTTTGAGATTTTGCTGTACATTGATTTGTTGTGGCTTTTTAATATTTGCTGTGCAGTACAGTAATTATAGTTTTCAGTACTTCATACTGTGGTATTTGATTATCCAAAAAACAATTACCCAAGATGATGACAACAACACTTATTATTCTAGATAATTGACTTCCTATTGTGTTGCCCTACTTTGAAAACTCACTGCCGGGGTCTAACTTCATACACAGGTATCTAGAACCTATTCTCTACTAGTGCTGACCTTGGAGATTCATAACTGACCTTGGAGATTCAAATGGAAGTAAAAGTACATGGCAATAGGGCTGTGCAATGCTTTGTTCGCTGATTTAATTCGGCAGAGGTTCGGACAAATTCGATGGCCAAATCTCCAAATCCAAATTGAATTAGAAGGCCCTTTAATTCCTCTGAATCAAATCAGAACCCTCCAACTTGATTCGGAGAGATTCAATGATTCGGACATAGACACAGCTTTAAATGTTTTTTCTACATACCTCAAGGTACCAGGAGGCTCATGAACACTGAGATGGTGGAGCGGATGGAGCATCCCACAGGAGTGCAGGGGGGTCCCCAGTGTGCTCAGCAGCAGACCTGCAAGTGGACTAGAAGCACTTTTGGTCCACTTCTGGGTCCCCCCTCTGCCCCCGGGCTTGGCAACTGGTGCCTCCTAGGTCTGTGGGAGTACCCAGGGTCCCCCCCACAGCCAATTGCTGAGCCAGGGAGACACAGGGGGAGGCAGTGATCCAAATCTATGAATCAAATCAGTGTCCCCAGATTTGAGCCGAATCTGAATTGAATATGGCCCGTTTCACACACCCCTACTTGGCAAGTACTTCTGACTTCCACGTCTACCACCAAGCATGCCAGGGTGCCCCCCATGCTCCTGTGGAATGCTCCACCTGCCCCACCATCTCAGCATTCGAGCCACACCTGGTACTTCAAGGTATGTAGAAAAAACATTTAAAGCTGTGTCTATGGCCAAATCACTGACTCCCTGAATCAGCATCAAATCTTCAGATTTGGATTTGGCCAGATAGAAATCGGGACAGTGATCGGAATCTACAAATAGAATCACTGTCCCCCAATTCGGGCTGAATCTGAATTGAATACAGCCCGTTTCACATACCCCTACCTGGCAAATACTAAGTATCTAACTTCTGAACTTCCTGTACTGCTCTTCAGCTCCTAAAGCCCTGTATGCACAGCAGATGCCAACCAAGAAAACAGCGTGGTAAAACATCTGTTAAAAATGTGACTTGAGAAGATGTCAAATACACTTTTAGCTTCAGTTTAATAATCCCAATTACTGCTGAGGCATAGCAGCAATAATCTAAGGCTCCAAACCTCACTTACATTGCAGAATTACACATTCAATATTGCTTATGTCATAATATTGGCAACATAATTGGAATTCAATCAGAATATTAGTAGCATGTGCAACAGGTAAGAAAAACTGAAAAACAGCTTTAGCCCACCATATATTTCCTAAACAGTGCTATATTTAAGTTGTATATGAAGGGGTTTAAATATGATAAAATAAATAATTCTTTATCTTGATTTGAAAGGACTGTGTCATGGATGGATTATTTGTATAGCATACTGGAGAAAAACTGTTTAGGGTTTGGTAGTGTAACAGTGATGCTGTAGCTATGATGGTGCAGAACTTATGCAGTTGTAAGAGTAGTGTTAGAGTTTGTGCATTTTGAAAAAAGGCAGAGACAAAAATAATGCATGGCTTACTTTGCAATTTAACTGTGCTGGCAGAGGTTAAGCTTTTAAATATAATATGAACATAATTCTTGATGGATTAAATTCAAGAAATAACCACTTTCAAACAGTTTGGCATTTATGCACTCAAAATAGCGAAGAGTAAATTCCAGATTGCAGCTAAAAACTCAGGGAGAAAATCCCAGTGTTTCCAAGGAACATTTCCTTTTCATCTATTGTAATATGCTCCAATATGTTCACATTATAGTTTAGGGTGAAGTTTACTGGCTTAATAGT